AAAAATTGTACACTAGGTCCCTAAAATGTTAATAAATATAAATTAAACCTTAATTAAATTAAACATTCTAACTAATATAAATAAAATGATAATAAAATAAAAATTATAAGAATAAGATTCAACAATAGAATCATATCGCCTTTTATGTGTTTTGTATTAGTATCCATTTTCTTGACACCATAGCTACAAAATTCGGCTAGAACCCCTAAGCGAGCAGGGTGACCTAATTGGATCAAAATGCCGTTGACCCAGTCAAATTTTGGGTTCTAAAACTGGCAAGAAAATGCCGTTGACCCTGTCAAATTTTGGGTTCTAAAATTGCTTGCCGATTGATTGGATTTAGAAATTAAAGTATCTTGAGTAACATAATCGATCCAAGAGATATAGAATACAAGAATGGCAAGCCAACCACTGTCACAATCAAGAATTTTATTTTTATTTTTATTTTTTTATCATTTGTATGTTTTATAATCTATTGTCATCACTTGCAGATGTATAAAAATTGAAAAAACTATATGTTATTACAACTTTAAACATTGATGAGAAAATTATAATCCAACTGATATTGCATATAAATTGAATAATCAAGTTAAAAACTGGGATTTTTTACTAACTCTTTCAATATTGAATAATTATTTTATGAATTGTATCATAAAATCTATTTTATACAGAAATATAAGTAATTATTATAGTGGCAACTTAAAAAATAATATATTTTAAAAACTTTGATTTTGCATCAAAGAAAAAATTTTGTGCTTAAAAAATTACAAATAATTTTATGAGCATTGACCCACCGCTGCGACCACTGGTCCAATAGTTCAACTAGTGATCCAATATCTTGTCCGAATCAATGATCAAATCGAATATGATAAATATGCTTGAAATAAATTTAGTCCCTCTTTTTGATGTATGCCGCAAATTCAAAATAACTAAGCTGGAATAATTTTTTGGTTGGATATTTAGGATGTCCTCAATGATTGGCTTGCTGGACCATGGACCTTTATATCCTTGCTTTACATCATATGAAACTGATCAATCAATTCAGATTGATTGCAACCTGGTAGAAAATTTTAGTTATAGTTGACAATATTAGATTGTGTTGGAAAAAATTCTTCTGACGTGTGCATATGTATAAAGAGAGATTAAACTCAATAGAAAAATATTTGAAGTAGTTTTTTAGACAAAGATGCCATTTTTCCTCTTTTATTTTTAAACGTTGGAGTTGAATCTATTGATTCAGAACGGAAGAACTAGCAAACAAAATACTTATAAAATGAGAAAATATTTAAGAATACGATTTGTCTCATATCCGATTATCTAGATGAATAGGAATTCCCAGAGATCTAACGAACAATTTAAAAATATCCAATAATACATTTCCTCTTCGGAGAATTCCGTTCAACTCTACATTTACTTCACAGTCCATCGAACAGAGGAGCCTCCCCCCCCCTTTTTTCTCATTGGTCACTCAACAATGGAACTTAAATATATATATATACGCACGCGCATGTGTGATTAAAAGAGTGTTGATCCCATAAATGATGTAATATAATTTAATTTTTGACTTTGACTTTGACTTACTAACAGAAAACATGGAAAATGGTTTGCAAAGAGATGTAATTATTCTGGTGATCTTGTGATACAACAATGTGAAATTCTCTTTTAGACACTCTAAATGAAAAGAAGAGACATTTATTTAACAATGCCTAAACTGTGCTCTGCTTCCTCACATTGCTTCTCCTGAAAAGGAAACTAAAAGCATTCAGTTCCCACCTTTATCCGAGCAATTTACATAATGAAAATAAAAAATAAATACACATAGAGAAAATAAAAATGTATATGGCTTACAAAAATCCCTAGGCGACTTGCATTTATAGCACTCCACCCTGCTAGCATAATTGTGCGTGCCACATCCTAGTCT